GGTGCCCCGCCAGCCACACGCAGCTCTGGCCTCCCTGCCCTGGGCCCCGGGAGCGTTTCTTTCCTGCCGGGCCGCTCGTTTTGCATCTTACAGAGCCAATGGAGTGACACGAATTTCAACCTAAATAAAAGCAAAAGCCCAGCGCAAACAGCACAAGGCCAGCGTGGCTGGGGACGTCCTCCAGCATCAGAGTCTCTGCGGCGCAGCAGAGACTCAGAGAAACCAACACGCCGTGCCGGCCCCTCCCGGGGCCACAGAATCACCCAGCCAGCTCCCTTCCGGAGCTCAGGTTTCTGTCTGAGCGCTCTGGGAGCCAGGCAGGGGGGTGGCGCCCCTGTGGGCTCAGGTGGGTGGTGCTGTGGGCTGCACCTCGCTGGGCGGCAGCCCCTGGAGGCCCGAGGAGGCTCAGCTGCTCCCGAAACTGCTGGCTCCTGGTCAGCTCCTGGCAAGTCCCCACAAGCTCCCTCTCCACCCCTGGCTGGTGGGCAGGGCTGCAGACAGGCCTCTGGTCAGGGCAGGCAGCTGAGAACAAGTTCAGGCCTGGGGCTGGGAGGGCTGGGAGTGCGAAGGACGGCGAAGGAGGGAGGCCTGGGCCTGGGGTGGGGCCCTTTATGGTAGTTGGTCCTTCAAGGCCGTTTCCCTCCAAGAACCCCTCTTCCACATGGTGTCCGGCTTCCTCCCGGGCCCAGCGCTGTCACAGAACCGTCTGTGATGGTGGGAATGTTCTATATTAGCTCCATCCAGTACCATCACCCCAACCAGATGTGCCCACTGAGCACTTGCCACTCAGGAACCGAACTGTAAGTTCCTTCAGGCCATTTTAAGAAAGAGCAAAGTTGTAACATATGTCTTTGTTGTTTTACTTTTGTTTTATTCATTACCGTAAAGAAAAATATCAACTCGCATTCATGTTGGAACTGCCGTGGAGAACTGGTTTGTAAACATTTGCTGGCAGCCTCTGCTTAGGTCCTGGGGTGGCCAGGTGCTGGGAGGAGACTCTTTCTGCACCCCAGTGCCGCCACCGGTAAAATGCTGACTTAACGCGTCAGATGTGCTGACAGTTGGCTAGACCGGGAGCATCCATTTCCTCTTTCTAATGGGCCTGCCCTTGACCAGAGGTGAGAAATGTAGAAACTCCACTGCAGACTCCCTTGCAGCTCGAGCTCCGGGGTGAATTCCCTTCTGCCTGGCAACCGCATCCACAAGAGCCCAGAAAGCAGGGGTGAGGCAGAGCCAGGGTCCTGCCGCTTTTGGCAAGGTGGTGAGACAGGAGGATGCCTGGCTCACTGTCTCGGTGCCTTGGCACCGATTCTTGGGTATCATGAGCAGGCATGGTCAGCGTTTCTCTGGTTCTTCTTAGAAGCTGCATTAGGCTGAGATGCCCAGGCTCTCCCGGAACCCCCAGGGAGAATCCGGGGCCGCAAACACACGGAAGAGAGGTGCACAGGGATGCCCGGAGGACTTCCAACACTCGAACCTGCTCACAGGGCTCCCATGTCAGCCAGGCCACTTCCAGTCTGACACGGAGCCCACTGTCCCCTCAGGGCTGTAACGCCCTCCATGGCCCCTGGTCTGTCTCCCATGGGCAGATATCACGGCTGGGCATTTTGACAGCCCCTCAGTCCAGGCTAAGGCTGACTCCCTTTCTGCCTACTGGACCCTCCCTGGGCCACTGCTGGGTCCCAGGACAAATGGTCCCCCATCTCTCATGCCAGGAATAAAGCCACACTTCAGAGGATGTCTATGCCAGGCCTTAGGGACATTTTCTACCCTCAGGAGAAGGCCAGCCGTCATCAGCACCCTGACCCGACAGTAATGCCGCCATGACGCCTACAGCAACCCCAGAGAGCCCCCCCGCTCCCACTCCAAGGTGTCCTTTCAGAGTCTTATACTATGTCTGTGGGAACCTTAGCGTTTTCATGGCCACAAGTCGGGCGTTTCCTTTACCAGGCGTAGTCTGACTCCCGTCCATCTCCTGTCAGCCCTGCTGGCACTTCAGTGTCACTTTTCATCCAAATGTGAGGTTTTACCATCTTGCTCTTTCCAACTGCAGTTGAGCTTTGCATATCTCTCTACCAAAGCCTGGAGTGGCTCAGTGGTTGAATGTCGGCCTATGAACCAGGAGGACAGGGTTCGATTCCCAGTCAGGGCACATGCCTGGGTTGTGGGCTCGGTCCCCAGTATGGGGAGTGTGGGAAGCAGCTGATCAATGATTCTCTCTCATCATTGATGTTTCTATCTCTGTAAAAATGTATTGAAACATATTAATGTTAAATAAAACTCCAGCCAATGCCCACAGTGAGATGAGAGTTCTCAGCTCCCACCGCACTGGGCACACACAAGGCCATGTGAGCGTGACCACTCACCACCCCTGCCACCCCACTGCAGGACATCAGTGCCGTTCAAGGCCATCCTCACCCCGTGTGGCACGTGTGTTCCAGAATGAGCCACACCTGCTGGCACCCATGTCACTTGTTCCTTCCTTCCTTCCTTCCACTTCTGCTATCTTGCATTCCAAAGCAACAAAACACTTGAGGCTCCAGTCCAGAGCAGACTCGCCTTCGACCCCACTGGCTTGCAACCCCATCACTGGAAGGTTCTTTCTCCTTCCAATCTGTATCACCTTTCACCAACTGAGCTTTAAGGGAAGTGAGCTAGAAATGTGAAGTCTCTCTCATAAAGCTGTTTATTTCAAGACTAGTGGCCTGGTGCGTGAATTTGTGCACATTGAAAGGAAATTAGTAAATATTTTAACATCGCTATTCATCCTTTCTCTATAACAGAAGTGTCAACCAAATTCACGATCAACAATGACATCAGTGAGAGCTTTATTTACCTCTTTCATTGGGGGTGCTGGCAGGAGTTTGCCCGGTGACCCCACCTCACTGACCGATCTGAGAAGAGTTGTTATTTTTCTGTTTGTCCAGCTCTTTGCTTGTTAAGACCAAGTAGCGACTGTGGCTTCTTACATATGGGGCCAGAAACAGGAAGTTCTGTTAGTCACAAATTTACAGACACACTTTTATGTATGCTTTTTCTGTGTGTTTTTCTTTTTTTTTTTTTTTTTTTTTTTCTGGGAAAAGTGACTATACATTTTACCAGATGCTCCGAGGGACTCTGAGCCCTTTGTCACCGACCCAGGGGGTGGGTTGGAGGAGGGCCTGGGCTCAGAGCTGGAAGACGTGGTCTGGTCGTGAGTGACTGACAAGCCACTCCATTCCGGGCGGGCCCCGTGCAGGAATGGGGCGATGACCTTTGTCTTGTGCAGTGAGTTTATCGCAGGTTCACACTCCTGTTCGTACGTTTTTTGACACACTTCCCAACGAAAGGTGAAGCCTCGCTGTCCTCTCCTTACGTGGGCCAGCTTTGATGAGATGCTTGTCATTAGCGGAGGCAGCCATGTTGCTGCGTGACCCCGGGTTCTACCTTGGGAAAGGGGGTACAGCGCTTGTCTGGCTTCCTCTCACCCGGGTACATGCCCAGGGGTCCTGGGGCCAGATGTCAGTCAGCCTGGCCACCCAGGAGCTGTGGTGCTGGAGAGGCAGGGGTTCGAGGAGCCCAGCTGATCCTGCCCTCAGCTGTTGGCTCTTCCCACCCGGGAGTAAGGCCCGTGAGTGAGCACCTTCTGCTTATTGCTCCGAGCCTGTGAGCTGCCCCAGCTGAGGCCAAGTAGACCCCGGGGCCCTGCTGAGTCCTGATTGTGAGCAAAATAAATGTGGCTGTGGCTTACGGCATCAAGGTTGGGGTGGTTAGTCACCCAGCATGAGATGATAACCCAACATCCTGCCTACCTTCAGGGGACTGTGAGCCTCAGCTAGCATGAGGCCTTCTACATGGCAGATACTCAATAACATGGATGTGTGGCCTGAGTATCGGGCCCCTGTGATCCGCGAAGGGTCACATGACAGGGAGCCCGGCCACTCCTTGGAGTTCTGTTAGTCACTCTGGGTTTTCTGAGGTGCAGAGCGTTAGTCACTGGCCCAGATCATGGGCTGGGTCCTCGGAGAGGGGTGTGTGTCCTCGGCCCAAAACAAGCTCTGGGGGAAGCACCCCGAGGGAGGGGCTTTTTCCTGTTGGCTGTTGGCCACCCTGGGGCAGGGTGGGAGAGCCAGGAGGGCCTGGGGGCGTGGGCCGAGGCGGGGCCGGGCCGGGTGGCGGTGGGCCCTGCAGGACACACAGCCTGCCCTCCTGCCACCTGTGCCCTGTGCTCTCTCCCTAGTGCGGGGTCTCCCCTCGGGGCCCCCGGGACCAGCTCTTTGCACAACTGTGCTGTCTATTCGATGCTCCTGCTCCCTCCCCATCAGGAAGTCCTTCAGAGAAGGACCTGCACGGCATTGTTTGTAACATCAGAGCTTAAGGAGCCGCTGGTGCTGGCGGGAGGTAGGTTCCCGGCAGGTGTGTGCGGTGAGGGCCTCTGAGCACCCCCGGAGGAGCCCAGCCCAAGGCGGAAGGTGGCCAGGAGGTGAAGTGGCCCCACCCGAGCTTGGGCTGCTGGCGGCCTAAGGGCCTGGCTGGGAGCCACTCCCCGCTGCCCACGGGGACAGGAGACCAGAGAGACAGCATTCTCACCTCAGGCCTCTTTGGAGGGCCCTGTCCTGCTTCGTGCCCCGAAGCCCATGACTGATCCCCTGGCAGTCACCTGCCCAGCACCACCAGTCCTGTGGGATGGGGTCCCATGGCTGTGCTCCCACCACCTCCCCGCCCACTGCCAGGCCTCCTGCTGCCTGCTGGGCCGGTGTCCTGCATCCCCGCCCCGTCTCCATCCCTGTCGTCTCCGCTGGTCTCTGTCTCCGCTGGCCGTGAGGTCCCTCCTCTGCCGCCTGGCTGGAGTGTGAGCCATCAGATACCAGCGCTGACGCTGCTTTCCCAGAAGGGGTTTGCCCAGACCAGAACTCAGGATCCACGTGGAAATGCTACCTACCGAGGAAAAGGCTGAGTGGCCAGAAAGGAAGGAGAGCCCCACCCCTCACCCCCTCCCAATTTCCCATCAGACACAGGGCTTTACGGCAGGAAGGCCTGCCCGCGGGAGCCTCGGCCGCCTGCCCGGGGCCTGTGTCTGCCCAGCAGATGGATTTCACCGGCTGCAGGAGGGATGGCTACCCAGCGTTAACCATCACCATGGAGCAGCCGGTCAGCCCCAGCTAGGCTGGCGGAGGGGCACCCTGCGGCTGGTCAGGCCCCTGTGGCCCCCTAACACTCACAGCCATCCTTCATCCCCCAGCCCGTCCCAGGAAGCGGTCTGGGCCCTGCTGTTATGGAGCTACCCGGAGAGAAAGGCAGGTAGGCCTGTGCTGTGTCATGGTCCTGCCTCTGTGTCCACGCCCAGCCTCCGTGTCCACGCCCAGCCTCCGTGTCCACGCCCAGCCTCTGTGTCCACATCCAGCCTCCATATCCATCCCCAGCCTCTGTGTCCAGCCTCAGCCTCCGTGTCCAGCCCCAGCCTCTGTGTCCATCCCCAGCCTCTGTGTCCACATCCAGCCTCCATATCCAGCCCCAGACTCTGTGTCCAGCCCCAGCCTCTGTGTCCAGCCTCAGCCTCTGTGTCCAGCCTCAGCCTCTGTGTCCAGCCCCAGCCTCTGTGTCCACGCTCAGCCTCCGTGTCCATCCCCAGCCTCTATGTCCAGCCCCAGCCTCTGTGTCCAGCCTCAGCCTCTGTGTCCAGCCCCAGCCTCCGTGTCCAGCCCCAGCCTCTGTGTCCAGCCTCAGCCTCCGTGTCCAGCCCCCACCCATGCGGAGAGGGCCGGGAAGCCGGTGCTGCTGAGACAGAGGCCACGTCTACAGGGAAGGGGTGTGATCCCAGCTGGTGCAGCCAGAGTAACAAGCTGGTTGACGGAGCCTGGCGCTCCCTCTGGGCCTCTCGGTGGGAATGGAAGCGAGGGAGCGAGGAGGACGGGTTCCCTGATGGCCCTCCCCGGCCCCTCTGCACACAGCTGTGCCCAGACCCAGTGAGCCAGGGCCCGGGGCCTGGACTGGACGGTGGGGGTGGGGGGCTCTCCTGTGGCTCTGGGCCCGCTGCTCCTGGCTCCCCTGCGCCTGGAACGTCTGTCCCCACAGCTTTCGGGGAGGAGGTGGGGTGGGGGAGCACCGTGCGCTGGGAGGGGCTTTCTCTGTCCCGCGCCGCTCCCTGGTCCCAGTGCTCCCGTCCCGCCCCCTCGGGAGGGCTGGGACAGTCTTCCAGAGCGCCGCCCTTCCTGGGAGCACGGACCGCGTGCTCAGACCCAGGAGGCCGGGCGGGATGGCTCCGTGTCCCCGTGGGGAAGCACTGGCCTTTCCTTTCTCTCCACATCGCCCATACCCCACGTCTGGGGCCCTGGCAGTACCAATGCCAAGGGGATTCGTGGGGCACGGACTCACGGTGGAGAGATGGAGACTCTGAGCGATCCCCACAGCGGATCCGCACTGACAGGTGGCCGGTCATGGCAAAGGGGGTGAGCCGTTCGTTCCTCTTGGGGACCCGAATCTGAGGGAGCGGAGGGCCCCTCCCGCCCTCAGGGCACATGCGGACCCAGAGCAGGTAGCACAGACCCGCGGACAACACACGCCAGGGGCCGGGGCCAAGCATCAGCGCCCGCCAGAGGGAGAGGAGCGTGGCCAGAAGAGAGAGGGGCAAAAGCGAGGGGCCTGAGCTGGAGGGGCTGGACCGGCAGAAGTGAGGGGGGGAGGGGGGCTTAGAGAGGAGTGGAGGTACCACAGCAGAACTCCCCTCCCCCGTCCTCCGTGTGCCTGGTGAACATGACCCTGAAGTAGAGGCCAGTGTCAGGGCTCCCTGCACAGGCTGGTGGGCAGCTTGGCATGTGTACAGCCATCACAAGGCTGGGGTGTGGGCATTGCACAGACACCCCCTCCCCCGCTCCCATATACACAGGTCCCTGTTGGAACGGGCTGTGCTGGAGACAGGACAGGCAGCTCCCACAGGCACTGGCTCTGTCCCCTGGCGCTGCGGAGGATGAGGCTCTGTGTCCACAGGGGGCTCCCCGTCTGCCTGGGAAGGACACACCCCAGACCCGAGGGGATAGGCGGAGTGTGAGTAAGCGCTCACTGGCTGTGTCACCCTGGCCTGCGGGGTGAGTAATGGGGCCAGACACCGCCATGGGACAGATGGAAGCCTCCCTGGGCCACGAGTCTCTTTCTTCTCTGGGGTCTGAATCACAGCGGCCTTTTCCCAGACGGGAGCATGCAGAGACTCCCACGGCCTTTTTCCTGCTGCCTCAGTGTGACCGGCAGGCTCCGGGGGCCTGGGACGGTGAGGTGGGGTCTGCTGAGCACAGCGCTGCAGCAGGCGAGGCTCGGGGAGCAGGGAGCAGGCCTGTGCACTCCCACAATGCCCTGTCTGCAGCTGCGGGTGTGTTTCTGGGAACGACCATTGAGCTGCTCTGTCATCCCAGAGATATGGGCGATTGCTCCACACTTGGTTTGAAGATTCCTCCCCTCCCTGCCTCCCTCCAAAGAGCTGAGTCAGCAACGAGAAGTGATGAGGCATGCTTTGCTGGAGTTGACCCAGAGTGAGTGTGTGTGTGTGTGTGTGTGTGTGTGTGTGTGTGTATCCTGCTCAGCATGGCCAGAGAGGGTGGGGGGAGGGGAAGTGACATGCCCAGAGACCCCTGCCATGGACAGAGCAGGTTCCCTGGCCTAGCTCAGTGCCGGCAGGGGGAGGGGTGGGAGAGAGGCAGGGGTGGGGTCAGCCCCAACACTCATAAAACCTCTTCGCCTGAGTGTTTATGGGCCCAGGTCCCTGTGGTAAGCCTTTAAAGTAACAGCAGACTCCCGTGTGTTCCTAAGATCCTCTCTGTCTGCATATGCTGCCCCGGCCAGCCCTCTCCCCGCCGTGCGGGACCTCCCACACCACGGCCAGTGGGAGCTGGAGAAGCAGGGGCTGCAGAGCACCCTATGGGTCGCCCTGCCACAGGCCATGTTCCTACATGATAGCGACCAACCTGAAAATACATGCGAAAAACATCCTCTTCACAACACAACAAAAACTCACAAAAAAAAACTTAAGACCAAGCCCCCAAAAGAATGTCAGAGCTTCTGTGAAGAGAACCTTAAGACGTAATAACGAGCACAAAAGAAGACCCAAATGAAGGGGGGTGTATACTATATTGGGAAAACAATGTTATGAATTGTGGAAGTTATTTATAAATTCAGTACAATCCCAATAACCATCTCCCTGGGATTCCTAATTAAAATGGACGAGGCAGTGATTAATATTCCCATGGGGGAAATGCACAAGAAAAAGACTGCTTTGAAAAAGAAGAACAATGAAGGGAAACATCCTGCCAGATACAAGACACGTTTTTAAAGCTATAGACATTAAAAAACTTAGAAAAGAAGTGCCGCTGGCATACATACGCATGGGGATAAATAAAGGTAAATAAAACGAGAAAAGAATAAAAAACCCCACCACCATCGGGACAGACAAACAGACCAGTGGAACTAAGCCCTGAGCGCAGAAACAGACCCTCAGATATATGGGACGACAGAGCACCATAAAACTGGTGTTTCAAGTAAGTGAAAAAGCATTCGCTTGCAAATGTCGGGAGAGATGACTGCAGAAACTGAAAATCAAGCTACTCGGCACCATTCATGATACAAAACTGTGGATTCCTTAAGGAGAAAGATAATTTTTTAAAACATACAAAAGAATTAGAAAACATAGGTGATTTGTATGGTTCTGTAATAAAAAAGCTTGTGAAATGATTTTTCCCCCCATAGGTACAGACAACCTCTTCTAAAATGTACGTGGAAATGTGATGAACGTAAAAGAGCTAAAATAGTTCTGTAAAAGAAGCATTAAGTGAGAATCAATCTACCCAACTTCCCAGACAGTGTGTGACAGTAACTGAGGCTGCATGGTGTTGGCAGAGGGGCAGACACATAGGTCAATGGAACAGAAAGGAGAGTCCAGTGATAGGCCCGCAGAAATATGCCCAGCTGACAAAGGTGCAACAGCAATTCGGGGGTGGAGGGCAGCCTTTGGAATAAATGGTGCTTGGACAATGGGACATCCATAGGCAAAAAAATGAAAATGGACCTGGACCCCGCACCTTATACAAAAAGTAACTCAAAATGGAGCACAAACTTAAATAGGAAACATAACCCTTGAAAACGCGGAGAAAAACAAACATCAGCAAAGCGTCTTGGAGACCTTGAGCTAAGCAGACGTGTTAGCCTTGACGCCAAAAGTACAATTGGGCTTTATCCAAGTTGGAAACTTTTGCTTTTTTTAATTTAATATTTTTATTGATTTCAGAGGGGAAGTGGGGGGAGAGAGAGAGAGAGAGAGAGAGAGAGAGAGAGAGAGAGATCAATGATGAGAGAGAATCATTGATCACACACACACACACACACACACACACACACACAAAAGAGTGAGGAGCTTTTACTATTGTCTTTTTTTTTGCGGGGGGGGGGGGTTAGGGGTGATCAGGCCAGCAGGAAAGAGCAGTTAAGGGTGATCAGGCCATCATGGGAGCAGTTAGGGGCATTAGGGGCAATCAGACAGGCAGGCAGGAGAGCAGTTAGGGGCATTAGGGGCGATCAGGCAGGCAGGCAGGTGAGCAGTTAGGAGCCAGCAGTCCCGGATTTCAAGAGCGTGCAAGCTGGGCTGAGGGACATTGGTGCACGGGGCCTCTAGTGTTAACACAAGAAATAGTCAAATCTGTGAAGAATTTTCGTGAGCCCTACCCGGTTTGGCTCAGTGGGTAGTGTCGGCCTGTGGACTGAAGGGTCCCTGGCTCGATTCCAGTCAAGAAGGGCACATGCCCGGGTTGTGGGCTCGATCCCTAGTAGGGGGCATGCAGCAGGCAGCCAATCAATCACTATTTATTGTCTTTCATTTGCCAGCAGGACCCACCAGCCTACTAGGGCAGGTAAAAACCACACCTGCCTGTGTTTAAAGTCACAGAGGTGACCAATAAGACCTCTGGCCCTGGAGCCAGTGGCCGCGTTGGATGACTGGGGCCCTCAGTGAGATCAGCCGCCGCGCACCCGGATTCTGCCCTCCCTGGCTCCAGTGGCTCCTGCTGGTCCCGGGTGCTCTGTAGATCAGGCCTCCCGTGCCCATCAGCACCCCCACCACTGAGGCAGCCCCTCCCCTCTGTGGGCAAAGTTGACAAACCTTTTACGGCAAAGAGGAAGTGGCAGGGTGGTCTGCGGGGGACTTGTCAACGGGTGGCTTGTCCCAGCCCCGTCTCTGGCCTCCACATGTCCCACGGTAAGCCGGCCCCATGCAGCTGAGGTTTGCATCGGGGTCTGCCGGGCAGCCCTGCACACGGAGCCAT